GCTGTAGAGACTAGAGGACACAGGCTGTAGAGACTAGAGGACACAGGCTGTAGAGACTAGAGGACACAGACTGTAGAGGCTAGAGGACACAGGCTGTAGAGACTAGAGGACACAGGCTGTAGAGACTAGAGGACACAGGCTGTAGAGACTAGAGGACACAGGCTGTAGAGACTAGAGGACACAGGCTGTAGAGGCTAGAGGACACAGGCTGTAGAGGCTAGAGGACACAGGCTGTAGAGACTAGAGGACACAGGCTGTAGAGACTAGAGGACACAGGCTGTAGAGACTAGAGGACACAGGCTGTAGAGACTAGAGGACACAGGCTGTAGAGACTAGAGGACACAGGCTGTAGAGACTAGAGGACACAGGCTGTAGAGGCTAGAGGACACAGGCTGTAGAGGCTAGAGGACACAGGCTGTAGAGGCTAGAGGACACAGGCTGTAGAGGCTAGAGGACACAGGCTGTAGAGACTAGAGGACACAGGCTGTAGAGGCTAGAGAGGACACAGGCAGGGTAGAGGCTAGAGGACACAGGCTGTAGAGACTAGAGGACACAGGCTGTAGAGACTAGAGGACACAGGCTGTAGAGACTAGAGGACACAGACTGTAGAGACTAGAGGACACAGGCTGTAGAGGCTAGAGGACACAGGCTGTAGAGACTAGAGGACACAGGCTGTAGAGACTAGAGGACACAGGCTGTAGAGACTAGAGGACACAGGCTGTAGAGACTAGAGGACACAGGCTGTAGAGGCTAGAGGACACAGGCTGTAGAGACTAGAGGACACAGGCTGTAGAGACTAGAGGACACAGGCTGTTCGCTTCTTGTTCTGTGAGCGGAGGAGAACGAGCGGCCCGCTCAGACTCTACTCAGCACTTTTCAAGGCATACATTTCATACACAGCTGAATCAATGACCTCAAGTTTTCAATTAAATTATGTATTATGATACAACTTGTATGTAGTAAAAAGCATTTTTATGAACTACTTAGAAAAAAAATCGGGTATAGCTTCTTTAAGTTTGATTACCACTGAACTACTGTTTATTTCTGTTTAAAAGATCAAATTCCAGTCCAAGGATGTGGATGTAATATCACAGGCCTTTGTTTAAGCTTAAAGCGTATATTGTCCTTCAAAGTTTGACAGTTTGAGTGCAGAGCTGGGCTTTGGGAGGTGCGGACAAAGCGGTGCACTGGGCATGTGACTGGTATTTCCCTTATAGCTCCTGATGCGTGCCATCAGCAGGTGTTCTGTGATCTGATTGGCTGAGAGGAGGGCAGGGCCTGATGCCTGTTTTAGCCAAGCTCCTCCATGTCAGATCGCGTTGGTCTGTCTGAGAGTCATTGCCCCTGTGACCACTGCGCTTTTGGAAGTATCACAAGCACAGGTGGAATGGGTTCTTTGTTTGTTATTCTGCAAGAGGAACACTTTCATTCAAATAGACATTAACTTTGACCCTTTTGAGCACAGGAATTAATCTGAATGTTTAACTACTGAAATGTTGGAGGTAAATGGCAATAATTAAAAAGTCTTCTTATGTACAGTACTGCTGATAAACGGGTGATAAAGCCAAACGAAGACAACAGTCAACTGGTCACAACATGATTTAAGGTGTTTAAAAGCTTAACCGTAAGCTTTCTTCATGGTCAAAATAATATGTTTTAAAACACAACTCTACCTCAATACAAATTCAGGTGTCCAGCAGCAGAAACTCATCCATTCAAACAAATAAATACTTAATTCTAAAAGTTAATAATGATAGTAATGAAGTGCAACTGAGGTGGTGTAGAAAGCAGCAGCTTTACATGCAGCGTCTACGGGGTTTGGCTGCAACAGGTCTAAATCAGGACTAAGCTAGGTCCAAACCACCAGTGTTGTTCGTCAATGTCTCTAGCACAAAACCTCTGGATCCAGTTCTATTTTCTCTCCTGAATCACTTTCACTCTTTCTGCTGGTTCTCCATGTTTGTCCTCCATTCTGTGCAATGAACACAATCCTCCACGCTTGTCCTCTCCTTGAATTCTCAAGTCTGGATCTGATCTCATTTACTCGCTCTGTCGGTCTTGGATCTGGGTTAATTATTCGACAAAGCTCAAGTGATGCCCCTGGAGAACATCTTCATAGAGAAGCTTGTTGCGCATCGAGTTGTTTGATTTAAAACAACTGTAATCATATTTATTTCCTTATTCGGATAAGGAAAAAAAACCTATACATTGATTTATATTTAATTAAACAATATGCTTGTAACAGCCGTTCATAAGGAATACAAAATCCCATTTCTTGTAATCAAATTATTTCATTAATACACAGAATAATGCTACAGCCACTCCCTTGTGTGATCAATCCCTTTAGAAATTAAATAAATAAATGCACTGGTTTAATATAGCGCTTTTTGGGCATTCAAACGCTTTACATGTCAGTATTCTTTCACCCCATACACAGCGCTGATAAACTACCGCTGTAGCCACACAAAAGTGAGGCAACCATTCATGCACACACCAGACTCATTCTAGGCAATGTGAGGAAACAATCTTGCCTAAGGACACAACAACAGTTTGACACCTGACGTTCCTAGAGGTCTCCCATCACAGTACTACCCAGGCCTTGCCCTGCACAATTTCGGAGGTTTGACGGGATCTGGCTTTTGCATGCAAGAATGGTCTTTTTGTTTTGCTGCAGATTGAAATCCTTGGCGTTGACTCAGAACACCTTGTCCTCTGGGTGTTGCCGTGAGTGCATTTCATGAACCCAAACAAGGTGCGTAACGATGTTGTGGAAAGTGAGGGTTGGTCCCGCGTCACAGCTGCTGGGGGCTGGGGGGGAGAGGGGCTATTTGCATGGGGACACCTGAATGGTCTGGCCCTGAGGCGGGACGGCACGTGCTCTTGAGACTGTGTGTTGTAGCTCCAGACAATTCCAAGTACAATAGACAATAGCAAAGATCAGTGGGACGAAAGAGAAAAGCCTGAAGTCTGACCAGCTCTGAGGTGAGACTTGAGCCGATAGTTGTGTGTTTAGTGTTTTAGTTAGTCGAGGAGTGCTGCGCGGAATGTGTGAGGTCATTTTTGTTTTGGTTTGTGGATTAGAGATGGGAGATTTGGACTTTCGGATCTATGCCCCGTTGTGTCTGTTTCTGATGGCTGTATGATGTGAAAATCGGCTCTGTGTTTCAATGATGGGAGAAAGGTGTTTTCAAAGGTTGGATTTGACCTGTCCCTAGTCTGAGTCGTAAGGGTCTGTGTATGTTGTGTCACCTTAAAGGTCCTATATCACGCTTTTCTTCATGTTTCACACTCAATCCTATGCACATGTGTGATATTAATGTGTATGATACACCACACAACAATCAAAGCTTGTGAGATTAGAGCCATCTCTTGTATAGAGGTGACGTCACCTCGACTCAAACGAGCTGATCCAGAGAAGAGTCTGCTCCTCTGCCTGTGAGCCCGCCTCCCCCCGCCCTCACCCGCCTCCCCCCGCCCGCACGCTGACGTAGCATCACGCTTTTGTCGTTTATCACCTGTACTTAGTCATTTCAGACATAAGAATAAACTTTTTCCAACAATGACAATCCGTCACATCGAGCCCTATGTCCTCGATGCACAATCAGACCCTAGTTATTTAATTTACAGAAGTATACAGCGAGTTAGCGTCACTACTTACAGATCGAGGGGGTCCGTGTTACGTCTTTTACCGTGGGAATAACGTGTTTCCAGATCAGCCTTTGAGTAAGTCCAGTTCCATTGTCCCTGTAGTTCTGGAACAGTCTCAGTGAAGTGTCGCAGATGAACCGGTATTATAATAGATCCATGAGATGAACAGATGAAAAAAGTCGAGCCGCTTTCTTCCTCTTAGGGCCAAATAGTGCGTCACATATTTACACCCATAAACACTTCATTCAAGTTGACGTGATCCTAACACTTTTAGTTTCTGACAAAAGCATAAAAACAGCAGCTCTATGTGGAGTCCGCGAGACCAGACCACAGACGCTGGACTCGGGAGCCGGAGCCTGTGCGCTCTGATTCGCTGTTTTGATCCGTCAATCACCTCCCGCCGGCTTTTAATTTATTTTTATTTTTATTATTTTTGACAAAAAACAGCATACTAATTGTGTATTGTTTACCCCGTTTTGACAAAAGTATTTAACAACTATTTTAAATACAAAGTAAACGGGGTCATGCGCGTCATCAGTGTGGTTTTCGTCACTGAAGTGGACCCGAGCGTTTCTGTGCCTCACGCTGGGGAAGGACACAGATTGTTCTCTTACAAAAGATTGACAGAATCAATGAATAAACTACTGTGGGCTTGTGTATGAGGCCAAATTGCATTGTAATCATGTTTAAAGCAGAGAAAAGTCAAAAACCGTGATATGGGCCCTTTAAATTGTGTGCACTTGTATATTGTAAATAGTAACTGTAACTCTATTTTAAATGTAAATTTATTCCTTAGAAGTGTTTTTATTATCTCTTTCTCACTGTTGCACTGAGCCAAAGCAATTTCCAAGTCTGTGACTTCCTGTTACTTACGTGGCAATAAAAATGATTCTGATTCTGATTACAGGTTTGAAATTAATCATAAAAAAAAAACTTCCTTTTGGAAAAATCTTTGTAGAGAGACAAGATATTTGATATTGTACTTTTTGAGATAAAGTCCTGGAGATGTGCAGTCTGGTTTGTGGTGATGTAACTTCACGCTCACGAGGAGGAATGGCGTCATCAAGCAGACTCTCATTTCCCATTGGCTGGCTTGCAATTGGAAAGACAATTTTCCGTAACCTTTTTGTAACCCGTTTTGTTAAATCAAATGTTTATGAACATAAATACACGTGTGTGTGTGTGTGTGTGTGTGTGTGTGTGTGTGTGTGTGCGCCAACAGATTAGTAGCTACTAGCTTCACTTCTGTCAGTCAGACCCCACAGAATCTATGAGTGAATAAATAATTCCCAGTGAAGCATATGTAACCTAGATGCCTTTGATTTACTAAATAATAATCTTGTCCCCTACAGGTGCCTCGTTTCCATAGAGCCTTGTTCCGTGAAGAGCGTCAGCATGATCTTGGCCACTCTGAGGAGCATCGGGAAGCAGCTGCTGCGTGTGAAGGTGGTGGACTGTAACGCGGAGGAGTCACGCCTGTCCCGATGCCTCAACACCTTTGACCTGGTGGCCCTAGGGGTGGGGAGTACCCTGGGGGCCGGGGTGTACGTGCTGGCTGGAGCAGTGGCACGGGACAGCTCTGGACCCGCCATCGTGCTGTCCTTCCTCATCGCCGCCCTGGCCTCTGTGCTGGCCGGACTGTGCTACGCAGAGTTCGGGGCGCGGGTCCCCAAAACGGGCTCTGCATATCTGTACAGCTACGTGACCGTGGGAGAGCTGTGGGCCTTCATCACCGGCTGGAACCTCATCCTCTCTTACGTCATCGGTAAGACAGGACATGACTGTGATGGAAATATATTCCTAAAAAACAACTGGAATCCTTTTTATTTAGGAACAAATATTATTTAATACTGTATTATTATAATTGATGTCATTGTGATGGACGAAACCAGGACTAAACCAGGACTAAACCAGGACTAAACCAGGACTAAACCAGAACTAAACCAGGACTAAACCAGGACTAAACCAGGACTAAACCAGGACTAAACCAGGACTAAACCAGGACTAAACCAGGACTAAACCAGAGCCAAACCAGAACAATCTTTAGTTCTTCAAAAAGTACCAGTCTTCTTCCAGTCTTCTGTAAACTGCACACAAAGTTTCTCAAATTCATAACAAAGCATAAAAACATCTGTGTATTGCAAATTCATAAAACTGAATGGAATCTGGGTGTTATTTGATATTAATCGTAAATCCAAAAGACCAATGAGTTACTTTCACATGGATTTCCTGCTTCTCTTTGACTTTGGCTTGAGACACGACTGAGGGACCAGAGACCATTGTTCTACTGTCATGTCATTTTGCTGAGCACAGGTACGTCTAGCGTGGCGCGGGCCTGGAGTGCGACCTTTGATGAGCTGATCGGTCACCACATCGAGACCTTCTGCAGACAGCACATGAGCATGAACGCCCCAGGACTGGCAGAGTACCCTGACCTGTTCGCCGTGCTCATCATCCTCACACTCACAGGTCTCTGAAACACACACACTGCACCTGCACCGCACACGCTACACCTGCGACACACACACTGCACCTGTACACACACGCTACACCTGCACACACACGCTACACCTGCACACACACACTACACCTGCACCGCACACGCTACACCTGCACACACACGCTACACCTGCACACACACACTACACCTGCACCGCACACGCTACACCTGCACACATACACTACACCTGCACACATACACTACACCTGCGACACACACACTGCACCTGCACCGCACACGCTACACCTGCACACACACGCTACACCTGCACACACACACTACACCTGCACACACACACTACACCTGCACACATACACTACACCTGCACACATACACTACACCTGCACACATACACTACACCTGCACACACACACTGCACCTGCACCGCACACGCTACACCTGCACACACACACTACACCTGCACACACACACTACACCTGCACACACACGCTACACCTGCACACACACACTACACCTGCACACACACACTACACCTGCACACATACACTACACCTGCGACACACACACTGCACCTGCACCGCACACACTACACCTGCACACACACACTACACCTGCACACATACACTACACCTGCACACATACACTACACCTGCACACATACACTACACCTGCGACACACACACTACACCTGTGACACACACACTACACCTGTGACACACACACTACACCTGTGACACACACACTACACCTGTGACACACACACTACACCTGTGACACACACACTACACCTGTGACACACACGCTAGACCTGCACACACACGCTACACCTGCGACACACACGCTACACCTGCACCGCACACACTGCACCTGCGACACACACACTACACCTGCGACACACACGCTACACCTGCACACACACACACTGCACCTGTGACACACACTACACCTGCACCGCACACACTGCACCTGCGACACACACACTACACCTGCGACACACACACTACACCTGCGACACACACGCTACACCTGCGACACACACGCTACACCTGCACACACACGCTACACCTGCACACACACGCTACACCTGCGACACACACACTACACCTGCGACACACACACTACACCTGTGACACACACGCTACACCTGCACACACACGCTACACCTGCACACACACACACTACACCTGTGACACACACACTGCACCTGCACCGCACACGCTACACCTGCACACACACACTACACCTGCACACACACACTACACCTGCACACATACACTACACCTGCACACATACACTACACCTGCACACATACACTACACCTGCGACACACACACTGCACCTGCACCGCACACGCTACACCTGCACACACACACTACACCTGCACACACACACTACACCTGTGACACACACACTACACCTGTGACACACACACTACACCTGTGACACACACACTACACCTGTGACACACACACTACACCTGTGACACACACACTACACCTGTGACACACACGCTAGACCTGCACACACACGCTACACCTGCGACACACACGCTACACCTGCACCGCACACACTGCACCTGCGACACACACACTACACCTGCGACACACACGCTACACCTGCACACACACACACTGCACCTGTGACACACACTACACCTGCACCGCACACACTGCACCTGCGACACACACACTACACCTGCGACACACACACTACACCTGCGACACACACGCTACACCTGCGACACACACGCTACACCTGCACACACACGCTACACCTGCACACACACGCTACACCTGCGACACACACGCTACACCTGCGACACACACGCTACACCTGCACACACACGCTACACCTGCACACACACGCTACACCTGCGACACACACACTACACCTGTGACACACACACTGCACCTGCGACACACTCACACACTGCACCTGCGACACACTCACACACTGCACCTGCGACACACTCACACACCTGCACCTGCGACACACACACACACTGCACCTGCGACACACTCACACACTGCACCTGCGACACACACACACACTGCACCTGCGACACACACACACACTGCACCTGCGACACACACACACACTGCACCTGCGACACACACACACACTGCACCTGCGACACACACTTAGCTTACCTAAGAAATTGCTCCCACTAATTTCTGGGAATAAGCCAGACAAGTAGAGTATGTGTGAGTTCATGATGGTACGATGACAGGACTTGCACAGGCTTGAAAGCTGCAGTTCCCACAGAAGGGATGGAGCTGCAGGTTTGTGTCAGAACAAAGTTGTAATATGGTTAAAAACTGGAATCATTAAAGTTGATAGTACATTCGATGCCTTACAGTTAGGCGCTATCAGCCTTCAATGTGCGTAGACATTTACAAGTCTAAACATTTAGAAAATGTTATAACCATGTATAAAAAATATGTCATAGAAATGAATATGAATCTGAATCTTGCTCATGTGTGCTGTCCGACAGGGCTGCTGGCATTCGGAGTGAAGGAGTCCGCCATGGTGAACAAAGTGTTCACCTGCGTAAATGTGCTGGTGCTGCTGTTTGTGGTCATCGCTGGGCTGGTCAAAGGAGATCTCCGGAACTGGAGGATCCACCCCCAAGACATCCTCAATGCGACGGCCCACAACGTCAGCTCAAAGCAAGTTTTGTTGAATAATCCTGTGCTTCAGACATGTAAACTAATCCCTTAAGGACTAATTATTGTATTGGTGTCGACCCTGAGAAACATATCGATTGACCCTGACATTTCAGGATCTCCTATATTATTTAAGTGGGACGGTGCACATTCATGTGTTTTTCCAACATGTAACTGTCCCTGTCCTTGCTAATGTTCAGATGTAGTTCCAATGGCAGGTTTATGTGAAAGTTTAATATCATAAAAAACCCTAGTGCTGCACTGCTGCCAGCAGAGAACTCTACTCCAGAATCCAGCTTATAAAAAATATCCACACTGTAACAGGATTGACCTGCCATCCCAGGCCAGATCTGATCGCACTAAGGTGTATTTGTCTCTAATGGAGGGTTTTGTGTTGCAGTCTTTCAGACGTGGTGCCCACAGAGAAGACCCTGGGCCTGGGCGGATTCATGCCGTTTGGTCTGCAGGGAGTACTGTCTGGAGCCGCCACCTGCTTCTATGCCTTCGTGGGTTTTGACTGCATCGCCACCACTGGTACAAAACTGCTTTGCTTCTGCAAGTCCTGCTCAAACGTGACTTTAATACTATTCTTGTTTTGTAGTTCATGATTTTTTTACCAGAATCATGTCTTTCTTGACACAAAGAGATTGTTACGAGAGTGATTAATGCTGTGCTGTATTATGACTGCATATGTTTCTCCTGTATTGGACTGAATGAAGGGCCAGTGTGGTTTAGCCAGCACTTGGCAGTAAAATCACAGCTATATCGAAGTGGGTTGCAGTCTGGCTTCACGCCTGTAGTTCTAACTGTGAAAACGGAAAAAATGCAGCCCTCATGAGTCCAAGCACAATTCCAGAGCCCAAATCAAAGTACGGCTTTAGAGCCCGGTTCCACACAGGGCTAAATTAAATTAAATACAGAGAAATTTTTAAATATCAGAACTTCACTCCAACAGTCTAAACGTGTTTATGCTTTGAGCTCTTTGTTTTTGGCGTTAAAGGGACAAGATGTATTTCCACCGCAGGAGTTCCTGGTAAAAGGAGCGGGGTGGAACTTTTACAGGATCCCTCGGCCCTCTCGGTGTCCGTGTCTCCACTGCAGAGTAGGACCACTCAGCAACATCATGAGTTTCAATTGCCGCATAAGCGAAACTCATTACGCCAAACCCGTTATTAGTATCGATCCATGCACCAAACCCATTTTATTTTACGGTCGTAACTGCTCCGGTTGTTGTGGTCTTTGAGTTTTTTATAGTCCCTCTTCAGTTTTTTAAAAACTGTTCACAGCTTGTTTTGGAGTGTGATGAATCCCCAGTGCTTTGGGGTGAAGCTGATATGTCGTAATATATCTTCATTTCGCCACGATGCCTCAAACCCCGTCTGAATACTGTGCTGTTGTTGGCTGTTTCCAGTGGTGTCTGCTGGGCTAATGCTGCTAGGCTAATGCTGCTAGGCTAATGCTGCTAGGCTAATGATGCTAGGCTAATGCTGCTGGGCTAATGCAGCTGGGCTAATGCTGCTAGGCTAATGCTGCTAGGCTGATGCTGCTAGGCTGATGCTGCTAGGCTAATGCTGCTAGGCTAATGCTGCTGGGCTAATGCTGCTAGGCTAATGCTGCTAGGCTAATGCTGCTAGGCTAATGATGCTAGGCTAATGCTGCTAGGCTAATGCTGCTAGGCTGATGCTGCTAGGCTAATGCTGCTAGGCTAATGCTGCTAGGCTAATGATGCTAGGCTAATGCTGCTAGGCTAATGCTGCTAGGCTGATGCTGCTAGGCTGATGCTGCTAGGCTGATGCTGCTAGGCTGATGCTGCTAGGCTAATGCTGCTAGGCTAATGCTGCTAGGCTAATGCTGCTAGGCTAATGCTGCTAGGCTAATGCTGCTAGGCTGATGCTGCTAGGCTAATGCTGCTAGGCTGATGCTGCTGGGCTAATGCTGCTAGGCTAATGCTGCTAGGCTAATGATGCTAGGCTAATGCTGCTAGGCTAATGCTGCTAGGCTGATGCTGCTAGGCTGATGCTGCTAGGCTAATGCTGCTGGGCTAATGCAGCTGGGCTAATGCTGCTAGGCTGATGCTGCTAGGCTGATGCTGCTAGGCTGATGCTGCTAGGCTAATGCTGCTAGGCTAATGCTGCTAGGCTAATGCTGCTAGGCTAATGCTGCTAGGCTAATGCTGCTAGGCTAATGCTGCTAGGCTGATGCTGCTAGGCTGATGCTGCTAGGCTAATGCTGCTAGGCTAATGCTGCTAGGCTGATGTGCTGCTAGGCTGATGCTGCTAGGCTAATGCTGCTAGGCTGATGCTGCTAGGCTGATGCTGCTAGGCTAATGCTGCTGGGCTAATGCTGCTGGGCTAATGCTGCTAGGCTGATGCTGCTAGGCTAATGCTGCTAGGCTGATGCTGCTAGGCTAATGCTGCTAGGCTAATGCTGCTAGGCTAATGCTGCTAGGCTAATGCTGCTAGGCTAATGCTGCTAGGCTAATGCTGCTAGGCTAATGCTGCTAGGCTAATGCTGCTGGGCTAATGCTGCTGGGCTAATGCTGCTAGGCTGATGCTGCTAGGCTAATGCTGCTAGGCTGATGCTGCTAGGCTAATGCTGCTGGGCTAATGCAGCTGGGCTAATGCTGCTAGGCTAAAGCTGCTGGGCTAATGCTGCTGGGCTAATGCTGCTAGGCTAATGCAGCTGGGCTAATGCAGCTGGGCTAATGCTGCTAGGCTGATGCTGCTAGGCTAATGCTGCTGGGCTAATGCTGCTGGGCTAATGCTGCTAGGCTGATGCTGCTAGGCTGATGCTGCTAGGCTGATGCTGCTAGGCTGATGCTGCTAGGCTAATGCTGCTAGGCTAATGCTGCTAGGCTAATGCTGCTAGGCTAATGCTGCTAGGCTAATGCTGCTAGGCTAATGCTGCTAGGCTAATGCTGCTAGGCTAATGCTGCTGGGCTAATGCTGCTGGGCTAATGCTGCTAGGCTGATGCTGCTAGGCTAATGCTGCTAGGCTGATGCTGCTAGGCTAATGCTGCTGGGCTAATGCAGCTGGGCTAATGCTGCTAGGCTGATGCTGCTAGGCTAATGCAGCTGGGCTAATGCTGCTAGGCTGATGCTGCTAGGCTGATGCTGCTAGGCTGATGCTGCTAGGCTAATGCTGCTAGGCTAATGCTGCTAGGCTAATGCTGCTAGGCTAATGCTGCTAGGCTAATGCTGCTAGGCTGATGCTGCTAGGCTAATGCTGCTAGGCTGATGCTGCTGGGCTAATGCTGCTAGGCTAATGCTGCTAGGCTAATGCTGCTAGGCTAATGCTGCTAGGCTAATGCTGCTAGGCTAATGCTGCTAGGCTGATGCTGCTAGGCTGATGCTGCTAGGCTAATGCTGCTGGGCTAATGCAGCTGGGCTAATGCTGCTAGGCTAATGCTGCTAGGCTAATGCAGCTGGGCTAATGCTGCTAGGCTAATGCTGCTAGGCTAATGCTGCTAGGCTAATGCTGCTAGGCTGATGCTGCTAGGCTAATGCTGCTGGGCTAATGCAGCTGGGCTAATGCAGCTGGGCTAATGCAGCTGGGCTAATGCAGCTGGGCTAATGCTGCTAGGCTGATGCTGCTAGGCTGATGCTGCTAGGCTAATGCTGCTGGGCTAATGCTGCTGGGCTAATGCTGCTAGGCTGATGCTGCTAGGCTAATGCTGCTAGGCTGATGCTGCTAGGCTAATGCTGCTAGGCTAATGCTGCTAGGCTAATGCTGCTAGGCTAATGCTGCTAGGCTAATGCTGCTAGGCTAATGCTGCTAGGCTGATGCTGCTAGGCTAATGCTGCTGGGCTAATGCAGCTGGGCTAATGCTGCTAGGCTGATGCTGCTAGGCTGATGCTGCTAGGCTGATGCTGCTAGGCTGATGCTGCTAGGCTAATGCTGCTAGGCTAATGCTGCTAGGCTAATGCTGCTAGGCTAATGCTGCTAGGCTAATGCTGCTAGGCTGATGCTGCTAGGCTAATGCTGCTAGGCTGATGCTGCTGGGCTAATGCTGCTAGGCTAATGCTGCTAGGCTAATGCTGCTAGGCTAATGCTGCTAGGCTAATGCTGCTAGGCTAATGCTGCTAGGCTGATGCTGCTAGGCTGATGCTGCTAGGCTAATGCTGCTGGGCTAATGCAGCTGGGCTAATGCTGCTAGGCTAATGCTGCTAGGCTAATGCAGCTGGGCTAATGCTGCTAGGCTAATGCTGCTAGGCTAATGCTGCTAGGCTAATGCTGCTAGGCTGATGCTGCTAGGCTAATGCTGCTGGGCTAATGCAGCTGGGCTAATGCAGCTGGGCTAATGCAGCTGGGCTAATGCAGCTGGGCTAATGCTGCTAGGCTGATGCTGCTAGGCTGATGCTGCTAGGCTAATGCTGCTGGGCTAATGCTGCTGGGCTAATGCTGCTAGGCTGATGCTGCTAGGCTAATGCTGCTAGGCTGATGCTGCTAGGCTAATGCTGCTAGGCTAATGCTGCTAGGCTAATGCTGCTAGGCTAATGCTGCTAGGCTAATGCTGCTAGGCTAATGCTGCTAGGCTAATGCTGCTAGGCTAATGCTGCTGGGCTAATGCTGCTGGGCTAATGCTGCTAGGCTGATGCTGCTAGGCTAATGCTGCTAGGCTGATGCTGCTAGGCTAATGCTGCTGGTAATGCAGCTGGGCTAATGCTGCTAGGCTAATGCTGCTAGGCTAATGCTGCTGGTCCAATGCTGCTGGGCTAAAGCTGCTAGGCTAATGCTGCTAGGCTGATGCTGCTAGGCTAATGCAGCTGGGCTAATGCTGCTAGGCTGATGCTGCTAGGCTGATGCTGCTAGGCTGATGCTGCTAGGCTAATGCTGCTAGGCTAATGCTGCTAGGCTAATGCTGCTAGGCTAATGCTGCTAGGCTAATGCTGCTAGGCTGATGCTGCTAGGCTAATGCTGCTAGGCTGATGCTGCTGGGCTAATGCTGCTAGGCTAATGCTGCTAGGCTAATGCTGCTAGGCTAATGCTGCTAGGCTAATGCTGCTAGGCTAATGCTGCTAGGCTGATGCTGCTAGGCTGATGCTGCTAGGCTAATGCTGCTGGGCTAATGCAGCTGGGCTAATGCTGCTAGGCTAATGCTGCTAGGCTAATGCAGCTGGGCTAATGCTGCTAGGCTAATGCTGCTAGGCTAATGCTGCTAGGCTAATGCTGCTAGGCTGATGCTGCTAGGCTGATGCTGCTAGGCTGATGCTGCTAGGCTAATGCTGCTAGGATAATGCTGCTAGGCTAATGCTGCTAGGCTAATGCTGCTAGGCTAATGCTGCTAGGCTGATGCTGCTAGGCTGATGCTGCTAGGCTAATGCTGCTAGGCTAATGCTGCTAGGCTGATGCTGCTAGGCTAATGCTGCTAGGCTAATGCTGCTAGGCTGATGCTGCTAGGCTGATGCTGCTAGGCTAATGCTGCTAGGCTGATGCTGCTAGGCTGATGCTGCTAGGCTAATGCTGCTAGGCTGATGCTGCTAGGCTGATGCTGCTGGGCTAATGCTGCTGGGCTAATGCTGCTAGGCTGATGCTGCTAGGCTAATGCTGCTAGGCTAATGCTGCTAGGCTAATGCTGCTAGGCTAATGCTGCTAGGCTAATGCTGCTAGGCTGATGCTGCTAGGCTAATGCTGCTAGGCTGATGCTGCTAGGCTGATGCTGCTAGGCTAATGCTGCTAGGCTAATGCTGCTAGGCTAATGCTGCTAGGCTGATGCTGCTAGGCTAATGCTGCTAGGCTAATGCTGCTAGGATGATGCTGCTAGGCTGATGCTGCTAGGCTAATGCTGCTAGGCTGATGCTGCTAGGCTAATGCTGCTAGGCTAATGCTGCTAGGCTAATGCTGCTAGGCTAATGCTGCTAGGCTAATGCTGCTGGGCTAATGCTGCTAGGCTGATGCTGCTAGGCTGATGCTGCTAGGCTAATGCTGCTAGGCTAATGCTGCTAGGCTAATGCTGCTGGGCTAATGCTGCTAGGCTAATGCTGCTAGGCTGATGCTGCTAGGCTAATGCTGCTGGGCTAATGCTGCTGGGCTAATGCTGCTAGGCTGATGCTGCTAGGCTAATGCTGCTAGGCTGATGCTGCTAGGCTAATGCTGCTAGGCTAATGCTGCTAGGCTAATGCTGCTAGGCTAATGCTGCTAGGCTAATGCTGCTAGGCTAATGCTGCTGGGCTAATGCTGCTGGGCTAATGCTGCTAGGCTGATGCTGCTAGGCTGATGCTGCTAGGCTAATGCTGCTAGGCTGATGCTGCTAGGCTAATGCTGCTAGGCTGATGCTGCTAGGCTAATGCTGCTAGGCTGATGCTGCTAGGCTAATGCTGCTAGGCTAATGCTGCTAGGCTAATGCTGCTAGGCTAATGCTGCTAGGCTAATGCTGCTAGGCTAATGCTGCTAGGCTAATGCTGCTAGGCTAATGCTGCTGGGCTAATGCTGCTGGGCTAATGCTGCTAGGCTGATGCTGCTAGGCTAATGCTGCTAGGCTGATGCTGCTAGGCTGATGCTGCTAGGCTAATGCTGCTAGGCTGATGCTGCTAGGCTGATGCTGCTAGGCTAATGCTGCTAGGCTGATGCTGCTAGGCTGATGCTGCTAGGCTAATGCTGCTAGGCTGATGCTGCTAGGCTAATGCTGCTAGGCTAATGCTGCTAGGCTAATGCTGCTAGGCTGATGCTGCTAGGCTGATGCTGCTAGGCTAATGCTGCTAGGCTAATGCTGCTAGGCTAATGCTGCTAGGCTAATGCTGCTGGGCTAATGCTGCTGGGCTAATGCTGCTAGGCTGATGCTGCTAGGCTAATGCTGCTAGGCTAATGCTGCTAGGCTAATGCTGCTAGGCTAATGCTGCTGGGCTAATGCTGCTGGGCTAATGCAGGTGTTCTGTCGAAGTGCTCTGCCAGTCGAGAGGAGCTCCCTCAGCTGTTTATGATGTAATGAAAACCTGCACATGCGCTTCTCATGGCAGCCCGAAGCAAACCAAGAGGGCGGACATAAAGTCTGTGAATTGTGTAAAAAGTTTTTGATACGAACGAATTAAGAGACGAATGTCACTTTTAATGCAATTTGAGGCGAGATGTTGATGGTCATTTTACTGACGTGGCTAACTCGACAGCTAAGAGACCAGTCAACAACCCGACTGTCCAGTCGGGATGATAATGGAAATAATTACCAAAATCTAAGTTGTTAGCTGTTAGCTGTTAGCCACAAGACATCTGCCTACGTCAGTAAAATGTTGTATGCCGCAGCTCGACTCGACAGGAAAGGTACTGCTATCACTAGGGGTGTGACGATACTTTCTCCCGCGATTCGATTATCGATATGCATTTGCCAAGTATCAATTTTTTTCAATTTTTTTTTTTTTTACATTTGTATCAATACTTAATATATGGCTACATTACGCATCTCCATTCCATTTATCATAAAATAAAGTGTATTTTTTCACTTAACATTTTTCTTTTATTTATGCCATAAATTGGCATATTGTATATTTCTGACCAATATATTAATAATCGTCATATCGTGATATCATCGTTATCGTGATATTATTGTTATCGTGAGCTTTGTATCGTATCGTGAGGTACCCTTAGGTTCCCACCCCTAGCTATCACACAGGAACAGTGTGGTTTCACAGGAGCAGTTACTTAAACCAAACTTTACACAAAACTTTGACTCGTAAAACCCACATATAACGACATGGAACCATCAACATCTCTCCTCAATTTTTTTTTTAAATACAATTCATGGACTTTATGTCAGCCATCTTGGTTTGCTTCGGGCTGCCGTGAGAAGCGCATGTGCAGGTTTGTATTACATCATAAACAGCTGAGGGAGCTCATCTCGACGGGCAGACCACTTGGACAGAACACCTGCTTTCTGTGTTGCTGCTTTCTGTTAGCATCTGAGCCTGTGCTAGCTTTAGCCAATCAGCGCCGGGTTAACCTCAAGTCCCACCAGGGCCCAACGGAGTACCTAACATGGAGGAGGGACTCCGTTGGGCCCCATAAAAGTTCCTGTAAATGTCCCTGTGGGGAAAGTTCCTGCAGTGGAGACACGCACCGACGGGGCTGCCCCTGAATATTACCCCGGAGTTCCTTCGGTGGAAACGCGGCTTATGTTTATTTCTACATATTTTACCTTTTCTGAACAGCAGAATGTGGTAAACCAGGTACAAAAAATAAGTAGTCATTTGTAATAGTGTACATGCTACATGCAGGAAGATTCTGGCAACAGAAATGTGATTCTAGATGAAATAATTTACTGTCATCATCACAAAACATTACATTTAGAGCATCACCGTGGTAAGCGTATAAAGTGCAGAAGTTGGCAGGATGTAAACAGCACAGGGCAGAGGTAATTCTGACTTCATTAGATCATTCATAGTGCATAATACATACTCTGCCTTTTAATACGATAATCTACACAAACAATGAATTTGCTCACTACAACCACCCTAACAGCACGTACGCGTTATACGCGCAGCAGACGCGCGTAACTTTTTTTCATGTTAACCTATGGTGATATTTACACTAGTGTTATACACGCGTATGACGGACGTATGACGCAAGGCTGCGTCTATTTTAGGATGGATTTCTAATTTTATGCGCGCAGCAACACGTCTCCCATTGAAATCTCATGTAAAACATGATTTTTATAGTGACCCTTGGCTCTAAATTGCATCTACACACACTCAGCATCTAAACATCAGCAGGAGGTTTTACAGTGATTCTAGACATGGTTTTTTTCTTTCATAAAGTCTGGCGTCTGGCCAAACCAGTGCACAGAGACCATGAGGACAAACACATGTGGTTTGTGTTGCTCTACATCAGTCTCTGTACTGTCCTCTGCACTGCTCCACAGACTACACAGGGACAGCATCAGAAGGACCTGCGCACGGCCTGTGTAGATACTCCCAAATAATGTTATGCGCAGATGCGCGCTGTTAACGCCTACTGTGGAAATTCTCTGTAAGGCACAAAGCATTATGGGTATCGTGAAAGTAGTGACTACTTAAATATTTTTTTCATCTAGACTCCACACTTAACCAAAGTGACTTCTTGCTATGAGCCGGAATTAGATGGATGGTGTGTACAAGTCTTTCTCTCCCTCTGCAGGAGAGGAGGTGAAAAACCCCCAGAGGGCCATCCCCATCGGGATCGTGGCTTCCCTGCTCATCTGCTTTGTGGCATACTTTGGCGTGTCGGCCGCCCTCACAGTGATGATGCCATACTACCTGCTGGACAAGAACAGCCCCCTGCCCGTGGCCTTCAAGTATGTGGGCTGGGAGGGGGCCACGTATGCTGTGGCCATTGGCTCTCTGTGTGCGCTGTCCACCAGGTAAGCAGCATGCTCCAGGACTCTGCATGAGAGCAGTCCTGGAAACACATTACTCCTGTTACTGATCTCAATACACAGGCGTCTGAAAATGTCTGGTCTAACTTGGAGCTTGTTACAATCCTTTAACTTTTTAAACTTTTGAATAGAACTTGTGTTTCTTCCCTCAATGATAAATGATTATGACATACAAAAAAAACAATCATTACAACTTGTTCTTTTTAACAAAAGAATTAATGCTGTATTACTATAATCATATTATTCTTCAAAATGACTCTAGATGAGGACTTTTTGTACTTTTTGTTTTTGAGAATTGAGGGTTTCATTCGTTAAAGCAGCCATTCTCAACGCCAGTAACAACGGGGCCCCCTTAAAAATCTGACGGGTCTGCGCGGCCCCCCGAAATAATAACCAAGAAGACAACGTTAAGAATAGGCTCTTCTTGTTATTTTATTTTGGGGAAATAGCCTCTGCTACAAACATGTAAATGACGCACCCCATTTTGTAAAACACAAATGATCACAATTTGATTATTCAGGTCAAATAATGAACACAAAAATGTTAATATTACAAACAAAATATTATTAATTTAACATACAATAATTATATTAAACATTTTTTTCTTTATTGATGACCTCTCGCGGCCCCCCTGCAATTGACCCCTTGCATGTGACGTCCCGGCCACGCCCACTCTCCATGACAGACGCAGAAGTCTAACTGGAGCCTACGGAAACCTGACCAAAACAACCTGTTTCAGCGCATTACAGCCAAAACTGTGACATTTTGCAGTGCGGTTGATTATACTAACAGGCACGGACATAAGCTTTTTTATCTGATACCTGCTCGTCATGACGACAGAAGACGACGATGGCGGCGATCAACCAAAAGGACTGGGACCCATCCAAGTACTCCCTAATCTGCAGTGAACACTTTTTACAAGATAAAGCAATCACAAGTTTGTATTTATTTTATTTCTATTAATGTGGAGGACAATGACACACGTCAAACGTGTCTCTTACTACTGTCCTGTATGTGCGCTGCAACATTGACATTTTTATCTTTTAAGTCAATTGCGTGTTTCACTATTTTCCGTCAGTACGTATCATGTTTGGCTGTAGACAGAAAAGCCACAGAAAAGTGGACTATTGCTAATGCTACCAGCAAAATGTACATATAAATCTGCTCCAGTGTGAGGGGATGCATTGTTAACGATAATGATAAACATCATGTAGGGTGAATTTGGGCAAAAATAGACATTTTATTTAATCGATAAAATGGACTGTGGGGAGAAGGTACGGGTCAACATCCAGTTCGGCGATCCTTAACTTCTCCAAATACCACTCTTTGTGAGCCCTGACCTGATGTCCTACGTCCTATAACGTAATCCAACATGTGCTTGAAGCAGCCACTTCTCCATTTAAGAGAGGAAGCTCCGTTTTTAAGAGTTGTGTCCGTTTTGCTCTCGCAGCAATGCTAATGCTAATGCTAATGCTAGTTTCCAATACTTCCGCCGTAAGCTCATTCACAATCACGTGACTGGATGACGTTGATGCATCTGGTCAATACCCTGGTGGGCCGTGGACCTCACTTTGGGAGACACTGGGTTAAAAAGAGAGAGTGGTATTTACTTTTGCTATAGTATTTTAATCTCAGAAGCAGTTTGGGAGGAAAAGTTGAAAAATAGGTTGAAATTTACAGCAGAAAAAAAATCTAATTTGGTCAGTTACTGGACAGGAGGTACTATGAGGTATCTTGTAAAATAAGTCTCTCCACAACTTCAACTGTATTTTTCAGAAAAATAAATATTTTGGACCATATGACCCTGTATCATCACCTAATATAAGTAAGAAGTCAAAATAAATAAATATATAATAGGGCTGTCAAAATTAACGCATTAACGCACGTTAATTAACTTTTTTCATTAATCGACGCATGCCCATGCATCCCATAATAACACTCAGAGCCGCGGACACATGCGTGTGTGAAATGGAAACGGAGCAGGTAGGTCCTCTGGGAGTGTTAAAAGAATACGCGTGGGGCCGCGGGGCACTTCCTGCTGTTTCCTGTATGAAACAGCTGAGCTGCGGCGCTCTGGACAGCGGTTCCCACCTCCAGCGGCTGTGATCACGGCGAACGGCGCCGTAACCTGATCATAACCAAGACCATACTCGCACAAACCTATTCTCTGCTTTTAGTGTGCATTAATTACGATTAATAAATGTTTAAGCTGTAATTAACTCGATTAAAAATTTTAATCGTTTGACAGCCCTAATTTATAGCAGTCCCTCTCTTTGGAATAAGCCTCACCAGTGAAATTAGCTGGAGAAGACTATTTCGACCAATGTTCAATAAGAATTTGAATTGTGTCCAATCTGGTGCTTGCATTAAAAAAACGTCTCTTTGCATGTCCACAATTTGAAAAGTAACTGACTCTCACTTGAAGACAATATTTTCCTCTTATGATGAGTGTCGGTGCATCCCTACAGGAGAAGGTTGAATGATTTGTATAATCGGTACTAATGAGCATGGCGTGTGTCTCTCCCACTAGTCTGCTAGGCTCCATGTTCCCAATGCCCCGTGTGATCTGGGCCATGGCTGCGGATGGCCTGCTCTTCAAAGGCCTGGCTAAAATCAGCGCACGCTCCAAAACCCCTCTAATAGCCACAGTGGCGTCCGGTGTGGTGGCAGGTGAGGCTGGGACTAAACCACTAAAGCACACACACATACACACAGCAGGGCAGCCGTTACCCCTGCAGCAAAGGAGCACCGGGCCTTAGCACTGCACTTTAAGCACAGTAACAGTCGGATTTAGTAGTATGCTTTGTAAGAAAATAATTCTTAATAGATAAAATTAAAAAGCTGGGGTACCTGACTTGGAAGAAAATGGAACTATGTAATAATGTCCTTCTTACTAGTTTCTCGCTCTCAAATCGGATTAATTCTTTCACGAGTTTCCACATGTTTCTTTTAGTCTATGCCACATCTTTAGATCAGATTTCTCAGGCAGAAAAGTGAAAATGAGAGGACCACCCTCACTCATTGAATCATCTTCCATCCCAAATGGTCAAAAAGTAACTCCAATGGCTCTTTCTTACAAGTATGCCGAGGATGTCTTCTAGTAAGATGTTGTGGCCCAATTCATGTGGTTTCGCTTTCATAAGATAAACTAAATGTATTGCTGTATGTCTTGGGAGCGTCTCTGGTTTTTGAGCACACCTGTTTATTTTTCACACCAGTAACATTTAAAATAAAAAAATATTTGTACATACATTGAATGCAGTTGAGTGCAAGCTGCAGGTTTTAATGACTAAGTTGCTTTGAGGACTAAAATATTGGTATTTCCTCCCGCAGGAGCCTAACCCTAGCCCTCGCCTTATCCCCAATTAAATTTACGCTACTCAGTTTTATTTCATATTTTTGTGTGAAATCCAGTTAGAGGAAGTTCAGTTTTTCAAGTACGGCAGCCTTTTACAACATGTACTTACAGCCTGCTAAATCAAACCCGTTCTCCCCAGTTCCCATAGTAATAGAAAACAAAGATATGGCTAAATAAAAATCAATGCGTTACATTTTCTCAAATCTTTTTCTAAAATGTTGGATACCCCAAAATGTTGGATACCCCAAAATGTTGGATACCCCAAAATGTTGGATACCCCAGCTTTCAGGGCATACCTCACTGTAGTGTGGCTGCAGATACCAGCAGTAAGGACTGTCATCAGAGTACGCAGTGACATGCAGCAGCAGTCGCAGTGACATGCAGCAGCAGTGACATGCAGCAGCAGTCGCAGTGACATGCAGTCGCAGTGACATGCAGTCGCAGTGACATGCAGTCGCAGTGACATGCAGCAGCAGTCGCAGTGACATGCAGCAGCAGTCGCAGTGACATGCAGCAGCAGTCGCAGTGACATGCAGTCGCAGTGACATGCAGTCGCAGTGACATGCAGCAGCAGTCGCAGTGACATGCAGTCGCAGTGACATGCAGCAGCAGTCGCAGTGACATGCAGTCGCAGTGACATGCAGTCGCAGTGACATGCAGCAGCAGTCGCAGTGACGTGCAGCAGCAGTCGCAGTGACGTGCAGCAGCAGTCGCAGTGACGTGCAGCAGCAGTCGCAGTGACGTGCAGCAGCAGTCGCAGTGACGTGCAGCAGCAGTCGCAGTGACGTGCAGCAGCAGTCGCAGTGACGTGCAGCAGCAGTCGCAGTGACGTGCAGCAGCAGTCGCAGTGACGTGCAGCAGCAGTCGCAGTGACGTGCAGCAGCAGTCGCAGTGACGTGCAGCAGCAGTCGCAGTGACGTGCAGCAGCAGTCGCAGTGACATGCAGCAGCAGTCGCAGTGACATGCAGCAGCAGTCGCAGTGACATGCAGCAGCAGTCGCAGTGACATGCAGCAGCAGTCGCAGTGACATGCAGCAGCAGTCGCAGTGACATGCAGCAGCAGTCGCAGTGACATGCAGCAGCAGTCGCAGTGACATGCAGTGCAGTCGCATGCAGCAGCAGTCGCAGTGACATGCAGCAGCAGTGACATCCAGCAGCAGTCGCAGTGACATGCAGCAGCAGTCGCAGTGACATGCAGCAGCAGTCGCAGTGACATGCAGCAGCAGTGACATCCAGCAGCAGTCGCAGTGACATGCAGCAGCAGTAGCAGCAGCAGTCGCAGTGACGTGCAGCAGCAGTCGCAGTGACGTGCAGCAGCAGTCGCAGTGACATGCAGCAGCAGTCGCAGTGACATGCAGCAGCAGTCGCAGTGACATGCAGCAGCAGTCGCAGTGACATGCAGCAGCAGTCGCAGTGACATGCAGCAGCAGTCGCAGTGACATGCAGCAGCAGTCGCAGTGACATGCAGCAGCAGTCGCAGTGACATGCAGCAGCAGTAGCAGCAGCAGTCGCAGTGACGTGCAGCAGCAGTCGCAGTGTGTTGCTGAGGCCCCGTGCCGAGGCCTCGTGAGCCCAGAGCAGATGGCTTTAACACAGTCTCCTCCTGCGCCTCAGCCTCCTTGGCTCCATGTTTCCACTGCCTCGCATTATCTTTGCTATGGCTCGTGACGGCCTGCTCTTCTCGCTCCTGTCCCGGGTCAGCGAGAGGAAGACCCCCACCATCGCTACCATGATGGCCGGGCTCTTGTCTGGTACGTGGCTAAAGATGAGGCCCAACACTGCTCTCTGTTGGAAGGAGGATGTGAGAGAAAATGTCTTAGTTGTCATTGTGGTGCAATATGTTTTAAGTGGACTCGCACATCAGGCTCTTTTTAAAATTTTTACTTGATAAAAATATTCGAGATTCGACCTGAGGTTTCTTCTCAATAAATTACATGAGGAAAAAAACATGTGAAAATTCACTTCTCTACTAATTCAATACAATCTTGAAATAATTTAAGATATGGCACTTGATTGTGCAAATAAAAGTCTCAAAATCTTTAAATTGAATTAACAGGGTGTTAAATTTAGAGGGATATAGCACTTAATGTTGTGCCAAATCCAAAAAAGACAATCTTTTTTGTAAACATTTTGAGTAGTATTAAACGATGATGGCATTACATCTTCTGGTATTTCCAAGGAGAAATTGAAAATCAAAGCAACAAACTGAAACTTATAGGCCACTGACGTGCACGTTTTTAAACCAGGACTTGGTCTCACCTCTGACCTGTTGTGTTTTACACTTTTCACATATGTATTTGAGAAACATTCCTTGAATAAATTGTGTCTGCGTGTCCATTCTCCACAGCTGTGATGGCGTTCCTGTTCGACCTGAAGGACCTGGTTGACCTGATGTCCATAGGCACTCTGCTGGCCTACACACTGGTGGCTGCCTGTGTGCTGGTCCTCAGGTATAGACTTTATGTTCTAACTCTGTAAGCTGGACCTGTCTGGGCTCTGTTTAATATTCTGCAAAATGGCACTATATTATGAAGCTTAAGGCAGACTGGAAGAACCAGACTGGAGAACCAAGTTCACAGCGCTCAAGTCCTCCTGCTGTTGCCCACAGCAACAGCAATCAGTCGATCACAATCAGCTGCACCTCACGCAAATCCTGACCTGCAGCAATCAGCCACTGCCCGCATCAACTTCATATCGCGCAGAAGCTCCATCCAAGCATGCTTCTTCATTCATGCTGCAACCCTCCTCCTCCCCATCTCCGCCTGCACCATTTATTTTGTTTTCTTAAGTCCTACAAGCATTTTTCATATTTCATTTTGGAATATTTTTTGATAATACAGTTACAGTACAGCCCTTTTTTCTGATGTTTTTAATACAGCGCTAGCCTGGCTTTATCCATCCTTACACTCCCCTCAATCATCATTTCCTGCATGTAACGTCTGGGTCTGGTCCCTGTGTTTGCGATTACAATCGGTTGATTTCCATCCGACCAATCAGCGAGCGCGGGAGGCGGGTGTTGTAGTTGTTAGATGTGGGTGACGTCAAGAGTTTTTTGCCAAACGGGCAGGTTGTAGTCTGTTAATGGCGAAGAATGCGATAGTAAAGTATTCCGGTCTAGTTCTATCAAGAAGCCGGAGCACGAGGAATGTTTAGCAAATGTAATTGCTTGCAAAAATTGTGGCGCTACTCTCCAAGGGCTCCGTTAGCGGCAAAGGAGAGGGCTAGGCTAAATGCTATATGCTAACGACTCACTCGGGCGCATTCAATTTTAAGTAATTTAATTTGCCAACTAATATTTGTCTACTACTATCATGAATGTTGTGGCATCTAAATTTAATATTCTTCTGCTGTGCAATTCCCGTTCAATAAGTTGGGTCTGGTGTGTGGCCAGGTACCAGCCGGAGCAGCCCAGTATGGTGTATGAGATGGCCAACACACAGGAGGAGGCAGATGGGGCCGAGTCGCTGACTGAGGGGACCTCAGACATTCTGCCCAGTGACAGCATCACGCTGAAGACCCTGCTGTCCCCGCCCAACCATGAGCCGTCCCGCCGCTCCGGGTCTGTGGTCAACATCTGCACCAGCCTGCTAGGTCAGAACACAAGTCATTCTGCACTTCACGGGGGGTGACCAAACCTTTTTCAGCGAGACAACACATAGTTGAAGGCAACAAAGCTAAGCAACCTAAATTAAAAAAACAAACATGATTTTGAAATGATTTGATGTACAGGTGAAACTGGGAAAGTTAGAAAAATGTTAAAAAGTTAAAATTATTTAACCTCTCTTACATGCCTCTTTACAAGCAAATACGTATATCTCACTTTTTGTGTAAATGAGACTGCCATATATTTGTTTCACATTTTAAGTTCAGAGGAAGTTTTTCGTTTCTACGATATTCATGTAACCCAATGCAGGGACTACAATTCACGAAACATCAAGATTTGTAAATTGACTACATTTATGCACTAAAAGGCATTTCATTAGTGTAAATCTGTTTCTTATATATTTTCCTAAATATCCGTTTATAACAAATTAAATTCTGCGCTGTCCCTCTCTCTGCCATGATTATTATATTTTAGTACTACTATACACTGTGACATACTACAATACAGTTATATTGGCTCCAAACATTTCATGCTAAATTACAGGTGCTTCTGCGTGTCGCTTATCCTGTCTCACCAGGGTATTGACCAGATGCATCAACGTCATCCAGTCACGTGATTGTGAATGAGCTTACGGCGGAAGTATTGGAAACTAGCATTAGCATTAGCATTAGCATTGCTGCGAGAGCATAACGGACACAACTCTTAAAAACGGAGCTTCCTCTCTTAAATGGAGAAGTGGCTGCTTCAAGCACATGTTGGATTACGTTATAGGTGGAAGTAGGACGTCAGGTCAGGGCTCACAAAGAGTGGTATTTGGAGAAGTTAAGGATCGCCGAACTGGATGTTGACCCGTACCTTCTCCCCACAGTCCATTTTATCGATTAAATAAAATGTCTATTTTTGCCCAAATTCACCCTACATGATGTTTATCATTATCGTTAACAATGCATCCCCTCACACTGGAGCAGATTTATATGTACATTTTGCTGGTAGCATTAGCAATAGTCCACTTTTCTGTGGCTTTTCTGTCTACAGCCAAACATGATACGTACTGACGGAGAGGAAAATAGTGAAACACGCAATTGACTTAAAAAATAAAAATGTCAATGTTGCAGCGCACATACAGGACAGTAGTAAGAGACACGTTTGACGTGTGTCATTGTCCTCCACATTAATAGAAATAAAATAAATACAAACTTGTGATTGTTTTATCTTGTAAAAAGTGTTCACTGCAGATTAGGGAGTACTTGGATGGGTCCCAGTCCTTTTGGGTGATCGCCGCCATCGTCGTCTTCTGTCGTCATGACGAGCAGGTATCAGATAAAAAAGCTTATGTCCGTGCCTGTTAGTATAATCAACCGCACTGCAAAATGTCACAGTTTTGGCTGTAATGCGCTGAAACAGGTTGTTTTGGTCAGGTTTCCGTAGGCTCCAATTAGACTTCTGTCATGGAGAGTGGGCGTGGCCGGGACGTCACATGCAAGGGGTCAATAGACCAGGGGCCGTATTCCTAAAGATTCTTAGTGCTAAGAGTTGCTCCTTGTGGCCAAATTCTAAGAATATTCTCAGAATCTTGACGTACTCTTAGAATTTCCACTAAAAGTGAAGAGTAGATCCTAGTTAAGAAAAAGGCTATTACTAAAGAATCCTAGCTCCTAAGAGAGCTCCTAAGGTGAGATCTATTAAGAGTAGATGTGGTTGCTACAGCTTAGTTTTTTCCGTGGTATATTTACAGTTTTGCAACAGTAACTTTCACAATAATAAACACTTGATTTGTACAGCGTATGTAAATGTTGTTGACTGCCAGCCTATTTCAGAACAGGTACTCCCATATTGCCAGCCGTTTCTGATGATTTTTACGGATTTTCAAGACCCACAGAATATTGTGTACTATGACTATCTGAAATCCAGTTTCGTTCCCCTGTAATCCCCAGTCGAATAGAGGGAAGTTTTACTGAAATCACCAGAAAGCTGAGAAAAAAGCAGCACAACATGTGCATCTAACTGTTTTCAAACCATTCAGAGAGAAATGCTGCCACCTGCTGGCTCGATAAAATATTGCCTCAAGCCAATCCCATATATTAGATACAATAGACGTCTGGGAACGTGAAAATAGCGGGACAAACAATTGACGTGTTAACACGTCAATGGCAGACACTGAGTTAATATTGTTTCCTTAATGCCTTATACGTCTTTCAGTATTACAGCCTTTACTAATCATCAATCAATATCATCATCACCACCATATATTTTTCATAACAATAATTTCCTCTATCATGTATATTTTATATGATAATCCAATAGATATAATATAAACATCCATCCATCCATCCATCCATTTTCTACCCTTTAATCCATTTCTGGGTCAGGGGGGTGGCAGTCAGAGATGCCACCCAAGTCTCATAGCACCAGCCCCTCACTGACCCTCTGCAGGTGGTGAGTCCACAGGAGGCTGCTCTCTGAGTGTGAGCATAGCCTTGATCTTTCAGTGGGGGCTTTGGGCAAAGTGGGGTTAAGTGTCTTGCCCAAGGACACAACGACAGCAGTCATCAGTGGGAGTCAGTGGAGAAGGTGTAGAGGTGGGAATATATATATATATAAACATATATTGAATAATAAGTGCTTATGTTATACGTGATTTAAATATGATAATTGGTGCTGAGCAAGTTTTGATGGTGTGGTGTAAAAGGACAACTTACTATTTACAGCATTCAGTTTCCATTGATATACCTGACCTATCTTCTCTGACTATTATTTGCAATGACGCAGTGTTCCTAAGATTAGATTCCACAATTGAGTTTGTCCATTTTAGGGTCCTTATTTTGCCCATTATCAGCAAAAATATGTTTTCTTTAACTTTTAGGATCAACCAATAACAGCGTCTGAAATGACTCATACCTAGCAACGGGGTCGGCCACGCCTCCTCAAGATAGGAGTTTTTGTCCATTCCTTGTTCAGAGTTCTCTGAGAATGTTCTGGAATAACTTTTAAGCTAAGACTCGTAGCTATGAGTTTTTAGGTTAAGTTAGGAGCTCTCTGAGAGGACTTCAGGCATACGGCCCCAGAACTGTGCTCTGACCGGATTGGGAGCAGACAAATATAAAATATATATATCAATTAACAACATATTATAAATGAATGGTGCAGGATACTGTAGTTTACATGATATATAGACAAATCCGCAGTGAAATCATGCGGGCTGCCATCTTGCCTGTCCGCCTGCATACTGTGACGTACCAGCACCCTCTGCTGGATTTTCAATGAATGACGAGATTTACAATTTTAATTTATTTGTTCTTGTAGGTTCATACAGGATTCAGTTGTTTGACATAAATACATAGATACACATTTCCTCTTCACCCCTATAGAGACCTGAAATGGAGTGGAGGAAGTAAGGCTGATGAACTCCCACCCCATACATACACACATATTCATTCATTTTAGAAAGTGAACATTGGGTAGATGACGTCAGGTACTGGCCAAAACTTGATGATGCAGGTAATGACAGGAAAATGTCGCGCTTAAATAAGATAGTCTATGTTGACCGGGTTAGAGTCATGTTTACGTGATACTGCATGGCGTCACATTGAAACGCCTTGTAAGGTTTTCACAGGCAGTGAACTCATATACTGTATCAGCAACCATAAAGAGAGAAGATGGCAAAATTCTCAAAGTAGTTTGTGACTTTATGGCCTGTAGCTCCTCAATGACAACGCTTATTGCGACGCTTTATTGACCTTACAAGTGTCATAAATGTCTTTCAATGCCGTGAAAACTACAGGACAAAATAAAATATGCAATTAAACACAACTTCTTGTCTACATTACAAAAACGAAACTTAAAATTAGCTACCTCGTGGCCGCCTGTCATGTCGGAGGTCTTTAACTTAACTTGAAAAGCAATATGTGCGTTTCAGCTCTACACAACATATAAAACAATTAAAAACACGAATGTAAACACACAATAAAATCGTACATGTACAAATAAATACCTCATACAGTTGCTTTCTCACTGTGAAAGTGGCTCTCGCTCTGATGTTTTTGAGCACGAGAGAGCGTCTGCCTGTCTACCTGAGGGCCCCTTATAAACCCCAGTTCTCGCAGATTCTCGCGAGAACAAAATTACGAAATGAAACCGATGTATAAAAGTGTAATAACAAATACTTTCTTTTGGAGAAAAAAAAAATATTACTATTTACAAATTTACAAAACAATTCTAAACCAAATAAATAGAAAAGCAAAATACACGTTTATAAGAAACCTATATAACAACACTTACATGGCCGGCCAAGGAAAGTGTAGTAACCATACAGCAGGGCTGTGTCACGGATACATCAGGGTTCAGTTTAGCCTGAACAGACACAGCATGCACTTGGAACAGGTTTGCTTGTGACAATGTAGTCCCAGAGACAGTGGAAAATATGCAGTTACAATTTGGTATTAAGTGGTTGTGATCAAAATGTCAACAGGACTCGCAGAAGTTCCCAGAAAGTGTCGGCACGTACAGTACCTGTGTAAAACATAAAGTAAATCTAAATGTTGTGCTGATCGCTCTCATGATAGATCAGTTTGAGGACCACAGTCCTAAATCTTCACATTACTGCTCAAACTGTAGTCGTGATCTCTGTGATCCGGCCACTGGACTCCAACATCACACGTCAGCAGTGGGTTCAGTGGCTGAGTTCTGGTGTACAGCCTGAATACATCTCTTTTTATGGGGGGGGTCTAGCAGGTGTTACCTAACTGAAAAAATGAGCGGAGGATTAGTTAAACATCACAAAGAAGGATATTTAAAATAATCAATATAGATTTACATCATAACCCATATGCAACACAGAATAAGGATTTTTTTTCTTGTGAGTTGTCAATCAGGGAAATGTATCTTACACACCTGGTATTGAAGACAAATACATTGGTAATTCATTGGTTTTGAGTACAAGAATAAGAGAGTATTTAACATAATATTCTGCACTTGCTCCTATCACTATTTTTGCCTGTGGACGGGTATCTTTTTTTATCTTGTGGGATGTGAAGCCAGAACTGTCATCTCGTGACGCCAACGTAAAATGGGCACAAACATGGGCACATTGGGGCAGTCAATATGTTGTAAAGGTTTGTGAAGTTCACACACGGTTCTATTTCAGGCTTGTATTTTCACACTGTTATTAAACAGCTGAACAGGCATTTTAGAAGAAGTGACAATTCCATCGACAGCCACAGAACAAACAGCTTCATGCAGACTTCCGGGTTTTGCCGAGTTTGTCTGTACTCTGTGTGTCTCATGTGTATGGCTCCCCCTGCAGGCGTGTTGGTGTGCGTCTTTGGCATAGTTGCGGTCCAAGGAGGAATGGCTCACTGGTCCCTGGCTCTTCTCTGTGTCCTGTTGGTGGTCTGTCTCATCCTCACTGTCATCGTCTGGAGACAGCCGCAGAGCAAGGCTAAGGTGGCCTTCAAGGTAAGGCATTGTTTCAGTGTTCTGTGTTTTCCTTCATTGGTTTAAAAAAAATCATACAAAACAAGCTTCTAAAATGTCACCGAGCCACCAGTGATATGGTGAATATGAGCATTTTAGAACTGGACACAATAAAGTGGCAGGATGTTATGATTTTTAATATTGAAATTGCACCTCAAGGTTGACTAATCAGATACACTGTGCACTTTTCTGATCAATATTTGAACGTGGAGTTATTTTTAGTTAAATATACAAGAGGCTGGATGTCCAAATTATTTTTTAGCATTACGGTGATTCTCAAGCTGAGTATCCAATCAGAAAGCTGAATGAGGCTATCATTGTGGTTTCCAGTTGCTTTGGTGACGTCCAGTCTTTGGTCTCTCCCTAAACCTGAACCGCAGCACAGTGTCGCCTGTTTTCAGGTGTACCCTTAAGAAGGCCACAAGAGTGCATTCTGAGTTTGTTTTTAAATGCAAAAAATACGAGCTTGGATTTTAAAAGTACCCGAAAAAAATCGAAATGCCTCATCATTAAAACCAGCACTACATAAGTGAGCCAAATGACTGATTAGGTTCCACCATGGTCGCCCTTTGTACCCCATTGCCAGCTTAGCCAGGGTACAGGTCGTACATTTGTATACATTGTGTACTTATTACCTATTGAGGCTCGATTACCTCACTTTATTTTTATAATCTTTAGGAAAATTCAATCCATATCCATGCAGTGCGTTGGGATATACGTCCTTTTGAAGAATAAGTAGGGCTGGTTTATACTGCAGTGTAATTTTATTTTAGATCAAATCTTCGCGGAACAGAATTTGTTTCGGGACCAGATTGTGACTAATTGCAGCGAACCACTGGCCCCCACTTTCTTGAGGAAATCTACAGGTCTCTTGTTAGCACAGACAGCTGAGGTAGACGAGCATCATAACGGAGGCAAACCTGAAACTTCCCGTGTCTTCGGTACCAGTTACTGCTTTTACAGCGAAACAGCCATCCAAAAGAAAGTCCCTACAAGAACTGAGAGAGGCCAAGCATTTGAAGGACCGGCAGAGAGGCACCCGGGAAGCGGACAAGACTACTTTAGCACCGAGCATGCAATCAAATGAGGAACAAAAAATACCTGCGACATCTCTATTTGTTTTTTGACCAAAACAAGAGACGTATCCAGGTCCGTATACAACAGCACACGAGTCTATGCACACGAGCTAGGGGGGGGGGGGGGGGGGGGGGGGGGGGGGGGGGGGGGGGGGGGGGGGGGGGGGGGGGGGGGGGGGGGGGGGGGGGGGGGGGGGGGGGGGGGGGGGGGGGGGGGGGGGGGGGGGGGGGGGGGGGGGGGGGGGGGGGGGGGGGGGGGGGGGGGGGGGGGGGGGGGGGGGGGGGGGGGGGGGGGGGGGGGGGGGGGGGGGGGGGGGGGGGGGGGGGGGGGGGGGGGGGGGGGGGGGGGGGGGGGGGGGGGGGGGGGGGGGGGGGGGGGGGGGGGGGGGGGGGGGGGGGGGGGGGGGGGGGGGGGGGGGGGGGGGGGGGGGGGGGGGGGGGGGGGGGGGGGGGGGGGGGGGGGGGGGGGGGGGGGGGGGGGGGGGGGGGGGGGGGGGGGGGGGGGGGGGGGGGGGGGGGGGGGGGGGGGGGGGGGGGGGGGGGGGGGGGGGGGGGGGGGGGGGGGGGGGGGGGGGGGGGGGGGGGGGGGGGGGGGGGGGGGGGGGGGGGGGGGGGGGGGGGGGGGGGGGGGGGGGGGGGGGGGGGGGGGGGGGGGGGGGGGGGGGGGGGGGGGGGGGGGGGGGGGGGGGGGGGGGGGGGGGGGGGGGGGGGGGGGGGGGGGGGGGGGGGGGGGGGGGGGGGGGGGGGGGGGGGGGGGGGGGGGGGGGGGGGGGGGGGGGGGGGGGGGGGGGGGGGGGGGGGGGGGGGGGGGGGGGGGGGGGGGGGGGGGGGGGGGGGGGGGGGGGGGGGGGGGGGGGGGGGGGGGGGGGGGGGGGG